CACATACGCTGAGCTCATGCTCACCATTCTCGACAGTACGCTATCGTTGCGTAACATCTCAAGCATATGGAGCATTTCGCTGAACTCGTCTGATCAAAACTTGCAAGAAATCGATAGACTCGATGAATGCAGCTGATATTGTTGACCTATAATCTATAGACTCTATATGCAGCTGGTATTGTTGACTAATGTCCCTTTCTTTTGTGAATGTCCGCATACCCTCATCAACAGCCCCTCAGCAAAAATTTGCAAAAATTCGATTGAATTAATGAAACACGCGTTAATTTGAAGACGAATGGTGTAGCTGTAATCTGCATGCTCACCTATACCTTATTCTGAGATTACTTCCTTTATTTATCTACACTTAAGGTGCATCAGCTGAAATGTTTAAAGCCATGTTGGTAGGACTAGTCGTCTACCTTGAAAGAACGATAACATACTACACAAAGCGAATACCTAAAACTGTGGGAATGATACAAACTCAAAAGAAAGCGTTCAACATTATGATGCAGTCATAATAGTTTGTAGTATGACATATGTGTGCTATTGCGGATCAGGTGAATACCAGTGGGGACTGCCATGCCTCAAGTGATAATCGGAGCTGTCCAAACGAGGCTAGTATTTTTGCTAATTCACTTACCATTCCTGGATAAGCCTGACTTCAACGGAGCAAATAGGAGAAATCAAAAAAGGAGGCAACGTGTTGCGAGGAATTAAACTCAGAATTCCCTACAACGACTTTGTTGAAACAGAACAAATGGCCTAAAATCACGAAGTGACAGTAAGTAACTTGGATAAGAACAACAGCAATAGAAGACTTTTGCTGGCAAGCGGGAGGGCGGTATGGGACGGACTCCCTTGAGCCTCTACGCCTATTTTTCAATTTGATGGTTTCATAGCTTGGCTGTACTCAACAACGAATCCAGCGGATTCGGAACTCTTTAGGTGGGCTTAATCCAATAGGTATTCAAGGAGACTAGTAGGCTCCAGAACCCACAAAATGAGACTTAATGGAGCTATATAATCCCAGTGCGTTCGCGCCAAAAGTCGGGCATACCCGCATTCACGATACAAATTACCCAGTTCTTGCACTAAGCAAGCACTGGGTTTGCGCACCCAGTGCTCGCGGTGCGAATTTCGAGATGGGTTAGACGCTAACCCAGTCCCTTTGCTGTTGAAAGACTCTTGCGAGCAGTGATGGAACAAGAAACATGTGCACTAGAAACACTTTTGGTACCGATCTAGGAAATTAAAAAATCTCGCGGATAACTCAAGAATAATATTTTCACAGAGAGGGCAAGCCAAATTGGTGCCAATTACGACTTAAAAATCTCAGAAACACAAACAAGTTTTCAAAAAGCGTTCTTAAGTCAAATTGTAATAAGCTTCAGCTTGAAGCGTTCGATGTTTGCTAATGCCATCTCACAATCAGATACCACTGCGACTACAGAGGTAAAGTCGACAGAGAGCTGAACGTCTGTCTGTATTTGTGTCTATAGTCTTTTGTTTTGAACCAGTACAAAGTTCTTCCCTTAGGAAAGCTCTACTAGAATGTAGGATCAAAAACGTGCCAAGATGTTTTTGCACTTGTGGATAATTATATAGAGTTACCTAGGCCTTCCTGAAACTTTGAGCTACTTGTAAGATTTTTTGAAATTGCGAATATACTACGTTTAGCTTAATGCAGCGAACCTAGAAAGTGTTTTCGGCTGGTAAACGCCCCTTTGTTGTGTTGTACAAAGTCTTGAATTTATTGTTCATAAATTCCTATCAACGAATTAAAAAATGTTGCGAAGTCAGGGGACTTCGTTTCGATATCCAGATCCTAGCTTTGACTAATCCTGCTCTTACTGATAATTCCAAATTTATACAATGCGTGATAACAGCTTACAGATACATAATGAAGAAGAGACAGCTTTCCTTTCGTCTCTCAAGTCACTTTCTTTTTCATTTCGTAATATACCGTGCACTTCCTCGACTGTAGTCTACTCAGGAGATCATTATTGTTTATTTACTCGTACACTTCTTCAAACTGAAACTGGATGATTAATGATTGTTGTCGTGTTGTACGACAATTCTAACACCTACCCATTCGATACCATAATTCTGTTTTAGTTGGCCAGATCCTGCTCCAGGTGATGATAGGCACAACATTGCTTTCAGATTTGAACACTTCCCCCTTATAAGAAGGAGAACAAAACCTAAGATTTGTTTACACTTCTGACAATGGCAAAGTTGAAATGACGCACCTATATCCGGTGCTACGTTGGTCCTTCTGCGACTTAATTTCTACACCAGCATAGTAGCATCCTTGAACAGCAACGCGATCACTAAAGTTATGAAACTTTACTTCTACCTTTCGGTCTGATGGAGCCTGTAAGTAACAATTAAATTAGCCATTTTTTTTTGAACGTCGGAGTGATCACCTCTATCCAGTACTTGCACATGGCAAAAAAATCATTGTCATCTGATTCCTTTACCCAAGAATGACCAACGACGTCTTCAAATTTTTTATAATCTGTCGTGGCTTGCAGCACTTCTCCACAACCGCTTGGCTGAAAGACTCTTGTTGTTGTGGAATTGCTGTGAGACAATGTTGGCTCCTACCCTTTCATTGCATAGTCTTCCTCCATAGCCTCCCGGACAAACGCATCTCAAACAATCTTTGGGGTTCGGAAAACCCCCCATTGCGCATTTGGCCGAAGAGCGTGGTTTGCATTTATCTGAGTAATTTAATGAAAAGGTCTATTTGTGCTTTTACACATGTATCTACCTAGACAATTGTAATGGGTGTTCATCATGAGTTTGTCGTAAAAAGAAACAAACTGGGACCCCAACGTATCGATATACATCTTGTCGACAGGTATCATGGTGTGCCAGCGGGTCTTGTCTGCGGAAAAACTGGAAAATGTTACTATTTGATTCATTTACCAAAACAATCATGCACCTTTTTGAATGGTAATGCATTACGCTGCCATACTCGTAAGGAAGCCCATAGTTATCGTTAGTTTCTTTAGTTTGCTTGGTAAACTGGTCGAACATACCATTCTAAGATTGATCCATGTATAGTAAGCAA